CTCCTGCTCTCCTTGCATCATTTCCACTTCCTGTCTGTTTTTCCCACCTACACCTCCTGCCTGGCCAATCAGCGTTTATTTAAAACATGATTGACAGAATACAGACAATTCTCCCGCACCATCAAACTAAATGGAGAGAAACACCCAGTGATTCCACTGAAATCTGGAACAAAACAAGGTTGTCCATTCTCTCCATATCTATTCAATATAGTTCTTGAGGTCCTAGCTAGAGAAATAAGACACCAAAAGGAGATCAAGGGGATACAAATCAGAAAAGAAGTCAAACTCTCACTGTTTACTGATGATATGATAGTTTACATAAGCGATCCCAAAAATTTTACCAAAAAACTTCTACAACCCATAAACACTTTCAGTAACGTAGCAGGATACAAGATTAACTAAAAAAAAAAATCACTAGCCCTCCTTTACACAGATGATAAATGGGCTGAGAAAGAAATCAGAGAAACATCACCCTTCACAATAGCCACAAATAGCATAAAATATCTTGGAGTAACTCTAACCAAACGAATGGAAGACTTGCATGACAAGAACTTTAAATCTTTGAAGAGAGAAACTGAAGAAGACACCAGAAAGTTGAAAGATCTCCCATGCTCTTGGGTAGGCAGAATTAACATAGTAGAAATGGCAATCTTACCAAAAGCAATCTACATATTCAAAGCAATGCCCATCAAAATCCCAGCAAAATTCTTCAAAGACCTCGGAAGAATGTTACTCAACTTCATATGTAAGAGCAAAAAACCCAGGAGAGCTAAAACAATCCTGTACAATAAAAGAACTTCTGAAGGCACCACAATCCCTGACTTCAAACTCTACTACAGAGCTACAGTACTGAAAACAGCTTGCTATTGGCATAAGAACAGACAGGAGGACCAATGAAACCTAATCAAAGACCCGAATATTAATCCACACACCTTTGAACACCTGATTTTTGACAAAGAATCAAAAAATATCAATGGAAAAAAGCATATTTAACAAATGGTGCTGGCATAACTGGATTATCAACATGTGGAAGAATTAAAATAGACCCATATCTATCACCATGCACAAAACTCAAGTCCAAATGGATCAAAGACCTCAACATAAAGCCAACCACACTGAACCTTATAGAAGAGAAAGTGGGAAGTACACTTGAACGCATTGGCACAGGAGACCACTTCCTAAGTATAACCCCAGCAGGACAGATACTGAGAGAAACAATTAATAAATAGGACCTCCTGAAACTGAAAAGCTTCTGTAAAGCAAAGGACATGGTCAATAAGACAGAATGACAGCCTACAGAATGGAAAAAGATCTTCACTAACCCACATCAGACAGAGGTCTGATCTCCAAAATATACAAAGAACTCAAGAAATTGGTCATCAAAAGAACAAACAATCCAATTAAAAAAAATGGAATGCAGACCTAAACAGAGAACTCTCAACAGAGAAATCTAAAATGGCTCAAGGACACTTAAGGAAATGTTCAACATCCTTAGTCATCAAAGAAATGCAAATCAAAACAACTCTGAGATTCCATCTTACACCTGTAAGAATGGTCAAGATCAAAAACACTGATGACAACTTATGCTGGAGAGGTTGTAGGGTAAAGGGAACACTCCTGCATTGCTGGTGGGAGTTCAAGTTGGTACAGCCCCTTTGGATGTCAGTGTGGTGTTTTCTCAGAAAATTAGGAAACAACCTTCCTCAAGACCCAGTAATACCACTTTTGGGTATATATCCAAAGGATGCTCAATAATGCCATAAGGACATGTACTCAACTATGTTCATAGCAGCATTGTTTGTCATAGCCAGAACCTGGAAACAACCTAAATGCTCCTCGACCAAAGAATGGATAAGGAAAATGTGGTACATTCATACAATGGAGTACTACACAGCAGAAAAAAAATGACATCTTGAATTTTGCCAGCAAATGGATGGAGCTAGAAAACATCATTTTGAGTGAGGTAACCCAGACACAGAAAAGCAATTATCACATGTACTCACTCATAAGTGGTTTTTAAACATAAAGCAAAGAAAATCAGCCCACAAATTACAATCCCAGAAAACTTAGACAACAATGAGGACCCTAAGAGAGACTTACATAGATACAATCTACATGGGAAGTAGAAAAGACAAGATATCCTGAGTAACTTGGGAGCAGGAGACCTTGGGGGAGAGTTGAAGTCGAGAGGGGAGAGGCAGGAAGGAGAGCAGAGAAAAATGTGGAGCGCAATAAAAATCAATAAAAAAGAAAAAAATATCAGGACAATTACCAACAACATCCCTTCAAACCTTCAGTTGAAGTTCAAACTTCAAAGTTTTGTTGGAATGACTTCATTATCTTTGCCTGGAAATCATTTGAGTGTAAGCTTCAAACATGCCAGTTCACTAGGAGAAAAAACTACTTTTTCTGAAGGCCTATGAATTAAACTGATAAAATATTGGTAGACTAGGGCTGGCAAGACAGCTCAATGGGCAAGGGTGCTCAGTTATCCTTATTTTATGAATGATATATTTTCCTCATAATTATTCCTTGGACATTTCATAAATCTTGATCATGTTTACCCCTCCCGTCTGCCTCTCTAATCCACTCCTCTTTTCTACCCACCTAATTTTGTGTCCTCTCTCTAAAATATATAGAGTACAATTTGTGTTGCCCATATACACTGTGTACCAACTTGGTTTCTCAAGTTCCATGACTCATGTAGTCAGTATCTTCAGTAATAGGGTCTTACTTTCAAGTTCTGGAGTGTAATCAAGAACGCTGGCAACAGTCTATACTCTGCGGGGCAGGTGTCTATGGGATCTGAATGCCCAACAACTCCAAAAGAGGCAACCCATTTCTGGCATTGGACGTTTTATTTGTTAGCCAGTGGTATCCATTTCAACTGTTTTTATATATGTGTATGTTTTCGGAAGCTTCTACAGTAGATTTCAATATGGCTCCTTCAAAATGCCTTTGTATTTGTTATCTCTTCCATATCCCGTCCTCTATCTTGCCCTCTTGGCCGCCACCCCTTTTAACACTCCCCATATTGCTATTTCACTTTGACCCTTTATACCACTGTGTTCTTGCACCCTTTCCTTGAAATCCAATACACGGATTAATGAAATAGAATTGAGGAGCTACATGTAAAACCACACTATGATAGTCACCTAGTTTTTGACAAAAAATAAAAGTCAAAATATACTGGAGAAAAGACAGCATGTTCAATAAATGGTGCTGGTCATACTGGATCACTCACTACATGTAGAAGAGTGAAACTTAATTTTTGTCTCTCACCCTACAAAAAACTCAGCTCTAAGGATCAGCACAAAATCCAGGATCTCAACATAAGACCTGATACCATGACTTATGTTTCACAGAGGCATAAGAAAGTTCTTTCTGTACAGATCCCTGATAGCACCAATAGTAAAATAAATCACATGTTGGTTTAAGAGTCAAATCTTTGAAAAATATCATGAAATTATTAAAACAAAAAGTATTAGTCAAAGCTTGGAATGGGGAAGACATTCAAAACATATCACCAAAGGTGAAAGAGACACAGGCAGAGTGACAGCCAGTAAAACAAACAACATAAAGATAAGCATTACACTTAAACAAAATTGAGGAAAAGCAGGAAGGTAATCTTTCCCATGAAAAATGGGAAAAGAGGCCTGGAGAGATTGCTCAGTACTTAAAGCAGTTATTACACAATCAACAGGCATGTGGATGAAGTTATGATATCCACTGCGTGAGCCTGGTGCCAGCTCTTAGATGGTGGAGACGGGATCCTCTGAGAAGTCGACTAGCTATTGACAAGCTCTGAGTTCAACCAAAAGACCTTGCCTCAATTAATAAGGTGGAGGGAAATTAATAAGGTTGACTTCTGACTTTAGTCCCAGGCTATCACATACATGGGCACATGTGTGCATACACACTTGCACACCTAAGCTCTCAAATACTTAATTGAATGTGTATAGACTTCACACATATACTTAAAAAATGAAAATGAGAAAAGGATATGGTTAAACAAAATAAACTGACAGATAAACATATTTTAAAATGTTGATTTTTTTCTAATCAAAAATGCAAATTAAAGATTTATTTTGCATATCTGCCTATCAGAAAAACTCAACAAAATAATGTGCATACATAAAACACTGCTCAGAGTTCAAGACAACCAATGTTTCATCTAGAATTTTCCTGAGTTTCTAAATTTTATATAATTATAGATATAAACAACTATTTCAAGTATATTCCTAATGCCTTTTCTTATTGTGCTGGCTAACTTTATGTCAAAGGGTAGAGTCATCTGAGAAGATGAAATCTCCTTTAAGAAAATGCCTCCATAAGATAGGGCTGTAGGCAAACTTGTGAGGCAGTCGTTTAATTAATGATTGATGGAGGGGGAGCCAACCCACTATGGGTGGGGCCACTCCTGGGCTAGTGATCCTGGGATCTACAAGAAAGCAGGTTGAGCAAACCACAATGACCAAACAAGCAAGCATCACCCCTCCATGGCCTCTGCATCAGCTCCTGCCTCCAGGTTCCTGCCCTGTTTGAGTTCTTGTCCTGACTTCCTTCAAAAATGAACGGTGATATTGAAGTGTAAGACAAATAAACCCTTTCTTCCCCAACTTGCTTTTGTTAATAGTGTTTCATCATAGCAACAGTAACCCAATCTAAGATACTTATAAAGTACACAATTGTAAAGAACTGGTATCATTTTTATCATATTTAACACAGCAGTATTATACAGCCATTGAAATAACATTAGAATATTTAAAAAAATGGGAAAATACTTAATATACTGTCAACTTGAAAACATAGCTTACTAGTTATGTATATCTTTTTTCAATAAATCGTTACTTCATTAACCCATTTCCTATGAGCCTGTATTTCTATTTTCAGTATAAAAATATTTCCCCATTTCAAAAATAATGTAATTTGTACCCCAAATTGCATTATTCAATTTTCCTTTGATTCTACAGTTTCCAGACAAACTTCTGATTACTAACCTTTTTGCTATGTATTTCCATAATGGAAAGGGGTGGTCTGTACTTGAGAAGTACACATTCTGTGAATTGCAGTGTTACGTGCATTGTAGCTGTCTGGTGATACGTAAAACCTAAAAAGAAACATTACAACCCATTAAGTTTATTAAACGAAGTGGCTGAAAGGTAAGAAAGGAATGCTACAAGTATGGTCTGAAAGTGAGGGACCTAGAAAAGATAGTAAGTAGACTTGCTGGACGTGGTGCTACATACCTTTAATCCCAGCACATGGTAGGCTGAGGCAGGCAGATCTCTGTGGGTTCCAGGGAAAGCTGTAAGCCCTTTGTCAAAAGGCGAGTTCAGGTTGGTGAGGGATGGAGCTCAGGACTAGAATACTCGCTTAAATATGCATGATGGCCTTGGGTTGGATCTCCAGGCCCCATCGCCCCACAAATAAAATGAATCCTATATGATGAAAAACAGTATGCTGACTATAACTACATACTTTAGTTGAAATGGTTTTTCTTTCTTTCTTTGCTTTCTTCCCCACCCTTCTTTTTTCAGATGGGTTCTCAGGTGGCTCGAAGTAATTCCTGATTCTCCTTTCCAAGTGCTGAGATTGCAGGTGGATGGCACCACTAGCAAGGCACTAAAAGAATAATTGAAAGCACATAGAAACTTGGAGAAGAATTCTGTCAAACACTAACAATGGGCAGGAGGGACAGCTCTCTAGGTTAGAGCACTTTCTCTGCAAGCAAAAGGATCTGTCTGAGATCAGACACAGGCTCCCATGCTAAAAGTTGGGTGTGGCCATGCACTGCTGTTACTCAAGTGCTCTTGGGGGTGCAGACAGGAGAATCCCTGGGGCTTGCTGGCTGCAAGCCTAACTCCAGTTTTAGTTAGAGACTTTGTCTCCATGGGATAAGGTAAAGAGTCATAGAGAAGAACATCCAATGTCTTCCTCTACATGCACATGCAGCCTCCCTCCACGTGCACAGTTTTGCAATAATATAATGTAAATATATTAATATAATAATATTAGCACATACCAGAGAGAGAGAGGCGTGTGCACGCATGCATGCACACACACATGCACACACACACACACACACACACACACACACACAGGTAATGAAATGTCACTGTCCTCTTTCCTTAAAGCAAACATTTCCAAACTTATAAACATGGACACCTTACTTAAAAAATTTCTTTCTGAGGCCTGTAGTAACTGCCATATACAAATTATATAAATGGAAATGGAAGGCCACTTTTAGAATCAAGAATTTAATAACAATCAAGATAGTACTTTACATAAGAGGGAACATTTTTATAGAAAAAAGTACACTAAAAAGTGTAAATTGCTTCTTGTCCTTTTGGCTAAGATCAAGTATTAAAAAAATGACAAGACAGATGATAAATGTAAAATGCTGGCTTACATGTGTTATTTTATTGCTAAACATCAAATTCTGACAATTATTATACCATCAAGTTAAAGCCTAAAAATGAATTACAGCTCACTCAAAAGTTATTGAAAAAATATCTGTGTGCCACTAGTATGTGGATGCTCAATAAATACCAAGGACACAATGACGACAGAGAGTCACATCACTATGAAGCATATTTTACAATTTGTTGTTAACACGATGACTAAGAACTGATTATCAAAAAGTCAAGTTTAACTGTATGTTTCTTCAAACTGAGATGCTGAAAATAATATATACAATCTTTATAATTACATCTGATTAAAATAAAAACCTTAAAATGTAAACAATACAGAACAGGAACACTGAGAATAAAATCTTACTGTTGAACAAAGTGATAACACAAAGATACTTCTTCAAAATCACCAACATAAATCATTTTCCAATATAATTCATTTTTCTAATTGCTCTACAGAAACTAAAATGGATTTTTCCGCATAAAAATGATAATACATCAGGGACATAAAGACCTTCAAATTTTTTATGTTAACATATATGTACAGTAAATAGTCAACAATTTTTTTACAGCTTACTTAAATATAAGCATGCTTTTCTATCCATAAATAAACACCAATCACCATCCATTCAAGCAAATTAAGCACTTCTGATATCTCATGCACTGTGCAGGGAGACAAAACTGAGTATGAATGACACATCCTAACAGTAGAAGAGTCCACAGTGAAGCTGAAGAGACAATATGTAACATCTCCTTTCTTAATCAATGAAGCCATTTGTATACAAATCTGCTGGACTTCCAGGAGGAGAGAAGGTCCCATACCCTAATCCTACAGATTAGCTGACAGAGGTGTTCAGCAGCGAATATGAAATGAGGTTTTGTCTTGTTGTTGCTTTCACTTAGAAAATGAAGTTAGTGGATAGAAATTCCTCTTATTAAAATATTTTCATGGCCTATGGGATAATTTAGTGGTAGAATGGTTGCTAGCATGTGTGAGGCTAAGCTGGGTTCTATAAGTACCACAGTAAACAATAATTGTTTTCCTCAGTATTGAAAAAATGATTTAAACACATACATTTTCATTAGTAAACTATCTAATACATGCGATCAAGTTAATTATATGAGTATTTCATGGCATTGTCTGTTTTACCTGAAAAGGTCTGTGCATTTTTAGTATGCAAATATATTTTGGTCCTGAGTGACCTTAGACGACAATAAATACCGTATTTTCAGGGATAAAAACTAAAAATTAGTAAATGTGTATGCCTTTAGTATTGTTAGCAACTAATGGCCTAACATTAATAAAATCTCAAAATGATATTCAGTGTATGATTTCTATTAAATAATGAAGGCAAATTTGTAATAAAATCTAATATGTCTAAAAATTGGTTTAAAAGTTTTAGGCGCTTAAGATAACTAATGTTCTGAAAAAGGTAACCTCATGAAGTACCTTACTTCAGGAAGGAGGTATATATCTGGCTATTAGTGAATGAAGCATTGCCTTTCATTACTTCTAATGTGTGTGTGGTTCATCAAATGTATATTTTTCATGAAAGAAAAATTATGTGCATATATCCCTAAGACTAACAGTTTCACACTGGTCAGCTGACTCTGAATTTCCCAGGGTTCCACTGCTACCTACAAGAGCGACTGAGGTTCTTTAGGGCTCAAGAGTGTGTTACTAGACTCTGAAAAATCCATATTTGTGCAGTCATTCTCACTATCCTACCAAGTCTTTGTGTACTCACAGAGGTAGCTTAGGGGGAGACGGAAAACAAAGATCGGGTGTTTAATCCCCCAACAGAGAGAAACATACTAAATGCTGGTGAGGACAGAGTGTGGCTCAGGGGTGAATGCTGTTGCAGCATAAAGCAAAAGGCCTAGCCCAGAAGAGTTCCAGGCTGCAAAACTCTACAAAGTGGATAGTAGACTTGCTGCAATGTCTGTTCTGTTGTGATCTGTTAGAGGACTCAGCTTAGATCTCAAATTCATGTCTAACTGCCTGAGCTCAAATGCCACTGTGGGAGATCCTTCCTGCAGCATACTCTATAGAACAAACGTGGAGATACGAAAAAGGCAATACTTGTGCAACAAAACTATCTTATCTCATCACAGGCCTTGGCTATGTTCAACTTTGTCCATTTACTTGGTATTACTTGCACAGAGTTTTTGCTCCCATGTTAGCAGATACTTTCATAGAATTTTACTGGTTTAATTGTAACCAGACCTTGGTATTCGGAATATAGAATAACACACCATTAAACTTTAAAATACTTTACAAACAAGATAAAGATAAGTACTATAACCAAGAACACTTGCTCAGTCTTCCATTTAACCAAAATCTAGTGTTCCTAAATCTTTAATGATGCATGTGTGTGCCTGTGAGTGTGCCTGCGTGTGTGTTTGAGACGGGGTCTTGCTATATTGCCAATGCTGACCTGGAACCCACTATGTAGCTAAAGATGGATGACCCTGGATTCATGATCCTTTTGCCTAGCCTCCCAAACACATAAAGACAAGTGCTGGGATTATAGGAGTGCACCCCCACATCATTTTAATGGCACTTTTTAAATTTTTCCTGGGGCAGGAAATATAGCTTAGTGGTAGAATGCTTGCTTAGCATAAGTAGTATAAGTGAGGCCCTATTTCAAACTCTAGTACCACACATACACACACACATACACACACACATACACACAATTTTACCACCAGATTTTGCTTTCCCTTTTACTATTACAAAATGCTATATAGTCACACAAAATGGCATTACATGAATAAATTTTCACTTGTTTACAAATTGTTCCACAAACATTCAAAATTTGCACATTCAATCTTTAAAACTAGAATGTAGCCAGGAATTACGCTTTTTCATTTCTTCCACTCCTTTTCTACTACAGAGTTTGGATTCTCTAGATATAGGAGCTCAAAGATGTTGGTCAAGATGCTTGAAGGAAACACTTTACATTTCATACCTAGTAAGAATTTCAACGGCAACAGATATTCCCACTTAGCTGTACTTCATACATTCTGTTGGACGAGAGCAAATATTACCGTGCTGTAACCATCCAGAGTCCCAGTGTCACATTGGCAGCTAAAAGTACACTGCCACCAAGCAAGATGAAAAATCCTATGAGATCTTTAACGTCATTGTCTCCAATCACTGAGGTAAGGGTAGCATCCAGGAAAGAGTTTAAAATCCATTGACCATCTAAAGCAAAGCAGGGCACTGCATTAACAATAGCCAGAGCTCCAGAAAGAGAAATCAGATACCTGGGTAAAGGTGAGTTAAGGAGCTAGCTGCGAAGTCCAAATGGAAACCATCTTTTGAGAAGTCAGAAGACACTGGACAGGGAGATGAGATTACAGTAGGCTTCTCTACTGTAAGTGTAACACTCTTTTCTATAGCTCTAGTCTTTAAGACAAATAAGTTAAAAGTACTTTGAAGTTCAAAAACTTTGAATAGAAAAATAAAGGCAAACTAACAAATCTAAAATGGATTCCTAAGAAGATTAAACTTTTATAATCCTTTAATGATACAACAAAGGGAAGGAAATGTAGCACTAAGGAATAAAGGGAAAACTTGCCAGCAATCTTAGGGCTTTGTGCACACTAGGCGATGTTCTACTACTGAACTATATGCCAGACCCCACATTCCTATTTTTTTAAATCTTGAGACTGGGTCTTGCTGCACAGACTGGTGATGTTCTTGTCTCAGCCTCCTAAGTGTTAGGATTACAAGTATGCACCAACACACCAGTCCCCAAATTACTTAAAAAATTATGTGTATATATGTGTATATGTGTAAATGTATGTGTGCACATGCATACTGAAGGCCATGGGGTCAGAACACATGTGTGGATCCCCTGGAATTGGAGTTATCATTGTAAACTACTATGTGGGTGCTCGAAATAGAACCTGAGTTCTATTTCAGTTAAGAGCAATCAGTACTCTTAACTGCTGAGCTCTCTCCAGCCCTCAAAATTACTTTTTTTTTTCCTAGACAGGGTTTCCTATGTAGCAGCTCTGGCTGTCCCGGAACTCACTCTGTAGACAGGCTGGCCCCGAATTCACAGAGATCCACTTGCCTCTGCCTCCCGAGTGCTGATGGATTACAGGTGTATGCTACCACTATCTGGAATTTATTAATAAACTCAAATCTGGCACGATGGTGTTGCTATATGCCTTTAATCCCAGTACTCAGGAGATAGAGGCTGAGGCAGGTAGATCTTTGTGAGGTAGAGGCCAGCCTGATCTACTGATCTAAAGAGAAAGTCAGGACAGTCAGGGCTACACTGTAAAACCATGTCTCAAAAAAAAAAAGTTCAAGTTGGGGAGAATTCATCACCACATCTCATTATGTTTTCTGTAAAAATATATGCTTTTGTGGGGCTAGAGACATGGCTCAGCAGCACAGTAGTTGCTATTGCACAGGACATGGGTTCGATTCTCATTACCCACAAGGCAGTTTACAACCACATTCAACTCCTTTCTTACGCCCTCCTTTGGCCTCCGTGGACACTGCATGAACATGGTGCACAGACATACCAGAGATGTCTTGGTGGAAGAGTGCTCTTTGGAACTCTGAGGAAAACAGAAGTGGCAACAAAAAACTCCTTTGAGGAGAATCTGCACTCTGCATGCTTCAGGCACTGCCTTTCTGGGATCCAAGTTGTTGGAATGCCTGCCTGCTATTCTTCCCACAATCCTCCTCTCCGTATATTAACTTTTCTCCATACCCTATGAGTTTTCTCCACTGACTTTCCCCTCATATGCTAAACTGTAAAACCTAATCTCTTTCAGGTTTTTTGTTGCTTGTCTGTTTTTCGAGACAGGGTTTCTCTATGTAGCTTTGGTGCCTATCCTGGAACTAGCTCTTGTAGACCAGACTGGCCTCAAACTCACAGAGCTCCTCCTGCCTCTGCCTCTGCCTCCTGAGTGCTGAGATTAAAGGCGTGCACCACCACTGCCTGGCTAATCTCTTTCATCTTTAAAGTCTCTTTTTTTTTGGCTGTAAGCAATTAAATAATAAGGCCTATATTTGTAATGCTTTATTTAAGGTAAAAATGATAAAGTTACAAATAACACACTTTTAATGTACTTTTCAAACCTGAAAGGATACTTGACAAATGTCTCCACAATCACGGGCAGATCTATGCTTAGAAAGTTGAAACGTGGGATAAAACTTGTGATGCTCACTAAAAATGAAAAAAGGAATAATAAATATTATCCATATCAGATAAGCAACAACACTATAAATTTACCCTATGGTCAATACTTGCACTAGTCGATTAACATGGATGAGCAAAACTTTCCCACACATGTACAAGCAAGCTATATACCTCATATATAAGAAATCAGGGCCAGGCCTTCAATTCCATTACTTGGGAAGTAGAGGCAGGAGGATCTTTGTGAGTCCAGCCAGGTCTATAAAGCAAGTTCTAGGCCAGCCAGGGCTATACAGTAAGACCCTGTCTCAGAACAAAACACACAAATTAAAAAAAAAAGAAAAAAAGAGGGAGGGAAGGAGAAAGAGAAATCAGTTAATAAACATATACTAAATATAGTAGAATTAAAAAACTCACATCCCAATGTATACTTATGTTTTGAGGTTACAGCTAAGATAAAGCAGACTACATACCAATTATGACTACCAAATATAGACTGTGACTTGAAAATGTAAGTTATATCAAAAGCATTCTTATCCTTTCAAAGAGGAATATTCTAAAAATTACATTTGTTCCAACTATTATGTTATTTAAAATGATTGCTTTTTTATAAACATAAAGATTAACACGAGGGGATCTTTAAAGTTCCTGTATGTTGTGGATTCCATAACCCTGTTTTGTTCTAAAATGTATCCAGTCATTAGGCAAAACTCACAGTTCACATTTCTAAATTAACCCCAACTAGAACCATTTCTTCATTTACTGAGAATAGCTGCCTGGAGTCACTTAACATCAAACCAGTAAACAAGAAAACCAATACAGGTTGTCTCCTACTACAGAACTCTAAGGCAAGCTGCATGGGGTAGCGCACACCTTCAGTCCTAACACTTAAGAGGCAGAGGCAGGTAGATCTCTGAGTCTGAGGTCAGACTGGTCTACAAAGTGAGTTCCAGGATACCTAAGGCTACAGAGAGAAAACCTCTCTTGAAAAACAAAAAGAGGAAAACTATGAAGCAGTATTGTGTGTAATGGTGCCTGCCTTTATTTCCAGCATTTAGGAGGCAGTGGCAGGCATATCTCTAGAGTTTAAAGTGTGCCTGGTATATGTAGCAAGTTCCAGGCCAGCCAAGGCTACATAGTAAGTCTCTGACTAAAAGTAAAAACAATAAACACAAAAAAGTCTTTTAAAGAATAGCATAAAATGCAAATACTCATCTACTGATAAATGGATAAAGGAAATATGGTCAGTCAAGGATGAACCTTGAAAACACTATGCTACATGAAATAAACCAGCTGTAAAATATTCAATTTCTATGAAATGTATAGAACAGGCACATTTATAGAAACAAAGTATATTAGTGCTTGCCAAGGACAAAGGATGTTCATGTTGGGCAGGGGATAAAGCTTAGGAGGTAGAGTGCTTGCCTAGAATGTATGAAGTCCTGAGTTTTATGCCCAGGGCCACATAAAACAGGGTGTGGTGGTATACCCACTATAACACCAGCACTCAGGAAGCAAAAAACACGAAGATTAGGAGGTCAACTTTGTCCTCAGTTATATAGGGAGTTTCAGGCCAGTCTTAGCTACATGAGACCTTGTCTCAAAAGACAAAAGCATTTATGTGTCATGCACTTTTATGTATTTTGGTAATCTCAAGAGCATGCAGCTCTGTAACATGAGGGGGGCCGGCTTGTTGGGGTTTTTGTCCTGCCCAGTGCTGGGATTAACATATTCCTTAGCAAATTAAAGACCCATGTGGTCAGAAAAAGAGAGATATACAGTAAAGAGAAATTCAAAGAGTAAGAAAACCTCTAAATGGTTTACATTGTGTTAAAAATATATACAAGCTAAAGGTTAAAGTTCTCAGAGTTAAAAAAAAAAAAGAAAGAAAGAAAGAACGAGTAGCCTGGGAGGCAAGGATGGCCTGGTCTACAGAGGGAGTTCCAGGACAAAGATATGCAGAGAACCTGTCTCAAAAACCTGAAAGTTACAAGTAAAAATAAAAGAAATGAGATTAAAATAAAGCCACATGAAGATGGAAAATACACAGAGAATCTTGATACTGTATGCTATTATGCTCTCTTTAAATTGTTTAAATGCTCAGGAAGGAGCAACAGCTGCTAAAAGATATTTGCTTATAAATGCTGCAGAATTAATCCAAGATAGGTATTTTGAAAATACGTCGGCTTCAAAATTGAAGTCAAAAGGTATGTTACTTTGGAGAAGAGATTTTGCTTTTGTTTCCACAGAAAACGAGAGGCTCTGGATTTATTCAGAGTTAAGAAAAATCATCTTTGACCAAGGGAGACCACCTGAGCAATCTCCAGTAGGAACAGATGGCCCAGATGTCTGAGTTCTTTATCCAGAACAGGTTCAAGACTGTTGCCTGACATAACCAAGACTCACAGGATACTTCAGTCAGGACTTGATCATAACTCTAAACTTCCTTTAGGTCCCCATAAGATTATCAGCGCCCCCAACCAGCAGGAAGTAGACTGAAATACTACGCCCACGTTCCCAAAAAATGGACTATGGATATTTTCCTTTTTTTAAAAAAAAAAAAAGAGGGGGAAGTGGTATAGGAGAATTGTCTGTATTCTGTCAATCATGTTTTAAATAAACGCTGATTGGCCAGGCAGGAGGTGTAGGTGGGAAAACCAGACAGGAAGTGGAAATGATGCAAGGAGAGCAGGAGAATTCTGGGAAGGAGGAAGCTGATTCCACCTACTCCTGCCTAGACCACCAAAGCAGCAGGATGTGAGCTGCCCCACTGAAAAAGGTACTGAGCCAAATGGCTAAAATAGATCAGAAAAATGGTTAATCAAGATGTGAGAGTTAGCCAGTAAGAAGCCTGACCTAATGGGCCAATCAGCTTTATAACTTACTGAGTCCTCTGTGGTTGATTTTCTCTGGGACTAAACAGCTGTGGGGTACTGGGAGGTACAGAAAACACAAACAAGCTGGCCCTACATGTTACACAGCTCTGCCACCATTTTGGAGAAATTGGATACATTTTATGAACTCAGAAAACATCAGAGATTATCTATCTGACTTGGGCAAAAATCATCAGGAAGCAAAGAGTGTCATTCTCTATAGGTTAGGTTAATTCTTTTTTCTTCTAATTTAACACCACTTAATGCTTAAGAACAAGTTAATAAAATTTTGATAGATAAGTGATCAAATTTATAATAAATGGAATCAACACAAGGATTTGTATCGAGTTTTTTCAACTGAGAATATATATGATCTTATGGATTTTTTAAGAATCTATTCCAATGATACCCACCTGTGTAGTGAAGATGCAGTGGGTGTCCTACATACAGCATATCAATTTGAGGTGGATGCTTCACCTTTATTAATCGAGTGTGAGTTTCCAAAGATGGTACTATACAGAAACTTGAACTTGAGCTGGTTTTGCAATCTTTATTGCTTCTACAAACTTGGGTAGCTTCAACTGCTTTCCGGGCAGGTAGACATGTATGCTAAAAATACAATATTAATCAATATTAGAAATTATTTATTAACAAGAAAAATCTAGGTTGCATTTCTTCATGTTTTTCTTGTTACCCAGAAGATTAGAAATTGCCTTCATATAAAAGGAATGCTATTATTATACAACTACTAGAAATTAAATTTCAATATTCCATTTTTGCTATATGGATATCATACTAATATAGATTTTTAGATTCTCAGATAAAATGTGATATCTGAAACACGGAGGTCTTAATTAAATGACACAAAGTAAATAGAATAAAAAGAGAAAGCTTTATAACTTTTGCTTTAGCTTTATCTATTTATTTTAGTAATTATATCAGACAAGTAGAACTGCCTTGGGGACAACTTACCAAGCGCTTATTAAAGTTATTTCTGTAGGAAAAACACACATCTGTGAGGCTGTGATTGTTACAGCATTCAGTAGAACCATCTAGTCGTTTGTATGCTAAAAAGAAACACAGTCCTTATTATAATCTATTTACATAGAAGTATATTTGTTTAAAAGTCTGCTTTTTAAAGACATAATACTCAGGAGCCAGAGACAGGTGGATCTCTGTTGAGTTCAAGGCCAGCCTGGTCTGCAAGAGCCTAGTTCCAGGACAGACATCAGAGCTACAGAGAAACTCAGTCTTGAAAAAGACCGACAAAAAAGACAAAAACAGTTAGTAGAATGGTATATAAATCTGGAAGCAACTGATAATGCAGTATCTAGCTTGAGAACTACTGGCTATAGTTTGATTTTTTAATATTAAAAATGTTCAATTTGAAATGAGAAGCTACACTGTGGGCCTTGGCATTAGTATAGGTTAGTTGCTATAGTGTTTGTCTAGCACACGTAGAACCCTGGGTTGGATCCCTGGAATCCTGCAAACCAGGCAAGGTGGCACACACATATAATCCCAGCACATAGGAGGTAAAGGTAGAAGGACCAGAAGAAGGTCAAGCTCATCTTCAACTAAGGATTGAGTACAAGACCAACTTGGATTACATGAGACCCTGTCTAAAAAATAAGCAAACAAAGCAGCTGCACTTACCCCAGGTTAGTTGTCCTTATAGGCTGACTCACCCATAAAGGTAAAGCTAAAGCTAGAGTGAATTCTAGAGCCTCTTTCTGAAATATATAGTGCAGAAGAACCTATCTACTTACTTCGAAAAAGGGACTGTGGGGAGTAAGGGACTGTGTCAAATGTTTCAACCTTAAAGAATCAGATTGGTCACTAAAAATATTCTTAATATTAGTGAACAAGAGAATACCAGACATCTGGACATCTACCAATATCAAGTAAAAGTATCAAGCATTACCTATGAAATACTTTAAAGGGAGGGAAGGAAGGAGAGCTAGATGCAGAGACACAGGCAGACAGGGAAAAGGGAGGAGAGGGAGAGGAAAGAATCCTGAATCAAGCCTCTAAATTTGAAAAAGACAAGACTGTAAAATTTGAGAAAACAAGTGACTCAGTTTCAATAAACACATGACCTTTCAAAAACAAGGGGTTTTGTGATAAACTGAAGAGACTTACAAGGCATAATACACTACAACGTTAAAAAAAAACCCAAGTATTAAAAAATAGGGAAGGGGCTGATAAAATAGCTCAGTGAGAAAAAGCATTTGTTACTCAACTATGTAAGCCTGATGACCCGAGTTCCATCTCTTGAACCCACAGAAAGGTGGAAGGGGAGAAACAATTTTACAAAGTTGTTCTCTGACTTCCATACAATTGTAACCACCACCCCCCACATGAACACATGAACACATGAACACAATAAATAAATCTAGAAATAAAGAAAATGTTTCATACTAAAAGGCTCATGAATATATGGAAAATTAAATCTGGAAAGAATTTGGGAGGTGACCTTTTCGGAGTTAACTAAGTTTAGCAGGTTCCTGGAAGAAACTTGCTTCAGCCTTCCCACCTGCTGCACAGGCCAACAAAACCTACTTCTCAGGTCTTTTTGGAAGTCAAGACAACTTCCCTGGACTTCTGCTATACAAAACACACTAAAAAAACACTACCCCAAAGCCGGGCGGTGGCGCACGCCTTTCATCCCAGCACTCGGGAGGCAGAGGCAGGCGAATCTCTGTGAGTTCGATGCCAGCCTGGTCTACAAGAGCTAGTTCCAGGACAGGCACCAAAAACTACAGAGAAACCCTGTCTCATAAACAAAAACAAAAACAAAAAAACAAACAAACAAACAAAAAAACCAAAAAAAAAAAAACCCCACCACAGATAGGTTTGGACATGTTAGTACCCACACATGACTTCTATAACTGCTTTTGTTTAGTTATATTTTAGTGAGAAAAAGAAAGGGATTCTTTTCTTTTGAGATCCACCTGCCTCTGCCTCCTGAGTGCTGGCACTCACCACCACATCCAGCTGATTTTACACATGTTTACAATTACTTTTTTCCTATGGTACTAGAGATAGAACTCAGGTCACTGCACACGTTATACAAATCTTCTATTGGGGCTGGAGAGATGGCACAGAGGTTAAGAGCACTTCCAGAGGTCCTGAGTTCAATTCCCACCAACCACATGGTGGCTCACAACCATCTGTAATGAGATCTGGTGCCCTCTTCAGGCCTGCAGTCATACATGCAGGCAGTATACTGTATACATATAATAAATAAATAGCTACCTTTAATCCCAGCACTCGGGAGGCAGATGCAGGTGGATCTCTGTGAGTTCGAGGCCAGCCTGAACTACAAGAGTGAGTTCCAGGACAGGCTCCAAAGCTACAGAGAAACCCTGTCTCAAAAAACAAAACAAAACAAAACAAAAAAAAACAAATCTTCTATCACTTGAGTTATACACTCAACCCAAACAATAGTGTTTTGAGTTCTAAAAGTCAAATATAATATTATCAAAGAAATTATGGGTTCAACAGTATATAATACAGGAAACAAATACCCAATATACCAAGAAGAATATCTATTAGCTTGAGCCTATTTATTTTAATAACTTGCTTTAAAACAATTGGAACAAAATAAATCAATAGATATGGTCTCAGGGTTAGTAATGGAAGGGACTGGTATTTGAACCATTATGTTATATTGAGAGAATGCACACACCTCTAACTGGGAAGCTTAATTGTTGTAACGTTGATGCACTTATACAGTAACCAATTTGGGGCTCATATGCAATAGTATCTAAACATTCATTCCAATCTTGCACGTTAGTAACAGGGCAATCCTGAAGATGAGTGACAAGGTCTCCCACAAAAAGGCCTCTGGGTCCAATGGCAGGTGAGTCCTTGGAAATAAAGAAAATCAAATCAGACAATGTATAATAGCAAGCTATAATGAATCAAAACTAACCATGGTAATAGACACTGCACTGATTAAAAATAGAATATTTTTTAACATTTTTATTAGTTCTTTGAGAATTTCACACAATGTATTTTGAGCCTATTCACTGCTCCCCCAACTCCCTCTAACAACCCTCTCCACTCTCCCATTCCTTTCCATTCAACTCAGAGCTTTCCTCAAATTAGAATCATTTGGAATAATGGCATAAAACAATTCATCTCTAAATCCAAAATTTATAGTCAAACAATTTTAATTGCATTTACCAGTTCACCAATATTATGAAGTCTTCACAACTTAAAAACCCTAGTTATTGATTATTAAGATTAAAATACTTTAATCCCAGCACTCAGGGAGGCAGAGGAAAGTGGATCTTTGTGAGTTCGAGGCCAGCCTGGCGGTCTACAGAGTGAGTTTCAGGACAGCCAGAGATACACAGAGAAACTGTGTCTTGAAAAATTAAAAAAAAATAACAAAGAAGTAAGGTACACAATATAGGCTTAGTGTAAACCAGGTCCTAAGTTTGATTACCAGCAACACAAAAAAGTGAAAATCAAAAACAGTGAGAAGCTGGAGAGATGTCTCAGTGGTTAAGAGTACTGGCTGCTCTTTCAGAGGATCCAGTTTCCATTGCCAGCACCCACAGAGTGGCTCATGACAGTCATTAAACCAAAGTTCCAGGAGAGCCAATGCACTCTTCTGGCCTCCATGGGTAGTAGGTATCCAAGCAGTACACAGTCACACTGGCAAAGCACCTACCCATGCACATAAAATGAAATTTAAAAGTTAAAAAAACCCAAACTTTTTAATGTAAAAAAAATAAAAAAACCAAGACACAATAAACCACTCTCCAATGGATGGCCCCACATCCAGAAGGATAGAGAAGGACAGTACAAACTGAAGCCCATGGGTTAGCAAATTAAAGTGGGGGGAAGTAGACATGATGTTGTGGGGGATGACAGAGAGGTGGGGGTAGATTTGAGAAGAGGGAAGGGGAGGAGTGAATATGACCCAAATATATTATATGAACTTGTCAGAGAATACTATTTTTAAATTAAAAAGAGCCAAAGCAGAATAAATGTGTACTTAATAAGCAAATTATGTAATTCTAAAAACAAATAAATAAGCTGGGTGTGGCAGTACACTGGGGAAACAGTTTGAGGTTGCCAGGGCTACACAGTCAGACTCTGTCTCAAAATAAAGAAATTTTTAAAAAGAAAAATAAATCTGTGCACACCTTCTCGGGATAAACAACAACAAAACCCATAATGAACAGAACAGAGGCTGGGAGGCTGCTGTTGGTAAGAGCTTGCTGTGCAAACTTGAGGGCCTAAGTCTGGAGCCCCAGCACCCCCTCCCCCAAAAGATATAGTGGCTTAAGTCTGAGGAAGCAGAGACAATAAGTTCCCTCTGGCTTGCTGGCCAGCTAGCATAGTTAAATGGGCAAGCTCCAGGCTCAGTGAGAGACTCTATCTTGAAAATTAAGGAGAGCTAGAGAAATGGCTTAGTGGTTGAAGCGCTGGCTATTCTTCCAGGAAACCCAGGGTTTGACTCCCAGCACCCACACAGTGGCTCACAATTACTTGTAACTCTAGTTCCAGGGGACCCAAAACTCTTTTCTGCCTTTCATGGGACCTAGGCAGGCACTTGGTGTGTGTGTGTGTGTGTGTGTGTGTGTGTGTGTGTGTGTGTGTGTGTATGTGTGTGTGTATACATATACACAATCATGTGTGTGTGTGTTGTGTAGGCAAAACTTCCATACATATAAAATAATAAAATTTAAAAGATAAGTGTAGGGGGTAACGGTGTGGTGGTGTATAGCCTTAATCCCAACACTGAGGAGGCAGAGGCAGGAGGATCTCTATGAATTCAAGGCCAGCCCACTCTATATAGTGAGTTTTAGGACATCGAGGGCTATATTCTCGATAAATAAATACATATTAGGGGGAGAGCATTAAAAAAAACACCTGATGTCAACCTTTGGCCTCCATATGCATCAACACACACCCACATGCGCACACTCACTTGAACACAGATTATAAACATAGACAAAATACCAGCAATTAAAATTCAAGAGAGATGGCTCAGCCGTTAAGCTAGCTGTTCTTCCAATGGACCCGAGTTCAGTTCCCAGTACCCATGTAAGGTAGTTCTCAAGAAGCTCTAACTCCAGCTCCAGGGGATCCAAGACACTCTTTTAGACTTTGTGGGTACTGCTGCTCTTTCAGAGGACCTGAGTTCAGTCCCCAGCATCTACATCAGGTAGCTTACAACCACCTCTAACTCCAGAAGCAGGGGATCAAACACTGTCTTCTAAAAGGCCTTTACCGGCACTCACATATGTGTAGCATATATAAACATCAATAAATTTTTTATAAATTCAAGAGAAACTCTTATATCCTTAGTGAACAAAACCACAGGATAAGTCTCTATATAATCACACCCCCAAATATACAGACAAAGGCAATTTTCCTCTTGAAAAGATAAGAGTATTGACAGTACCATAGCAGCTACTAAAACACAGAATCAGCAGTTAACTTAAAACTCCAACACAATGAGAGGGGAGGGGAGGAAAGGAGGGGAGAGGAGCAAAATATATAGCTCAATAAAAACAATTTTAAAAACTCCTACAAAATGTTTTGGCTGGGTAACTTAGGTTTAACTATTCTTCTAAGTAGTATTGAAAAGCAGAAATATAAAAATAATAAAGATAAACAAAGCATTTTTATCAATAAACCACATACAAAATCTTGATATTACCTTTTTAGATCAGAACGAAAAACAATTTTCATGACATTAAAAACATCCAATTTATGTCCCAACACTATGTTTGCATTTGAAGAGATTTTAAGAATTACAACAGAGCATCTGGTGAGAGGACACCCTAGGCGATCCATTATTTACCTCTGCAACTTCAGTGATAAGTACCCCAACTCCAGTGTAGTAAAATGGTAAGAGAATTACTGGGAGTAGAAGAAGAGCTAAAATACCAAGGAGAGCAAGGACAAAATTATGCCATATACCTGAAAAGAGAGAGAATAAAAGTAGTAAGTTCAACAGTAGCAAGAATAACAGTTTGCTGGACTTTGTAACACATGGCATTCTAATAAGATTATAAATAGAACAGGGTTGCGAGGCAGAGGGTTCAATTAACTGTTAAGCAGATAGATGCTCACTAAGTCTGCCTTCATTTCAGATATTAAAATCTGAAGTGTACATACTATAATTCTGAAGGCCATATGAGATTATGGTTGAATATAAATACAACAAGCACCTTCTAACTATGCCATCTTTATAGAATCAATATACACACCCTTAATTTAAACATGTTCATGTTCTTTGATAGAAACCTCAAGCATATACAAATGAAAGTCAGGGTGAAATTAGAAAGCAAAATTCTTAGGACTTGGGAAATGGTTTCAGTAGGTAAAACACATGCTGTGCAAGCATAAGAATCTGAACTGAGATCCCTAGAATCAGCATAAGGGCTGAGCACAGAGGTGCCTGTCTGTAATTTCAGCAGCTGGAGTGAAGACAGCAGATCCTGGGGGCTCACTGGCCATGAGCTCTAGGTTCTGTGAGAAATACTGTCTCCCCAAATTTTGGGGGATGGGGGAAGGTGTGGACATCAATCTTGGCCTCCACAAGTGCATGCTTGGGTCAGTGCACCTGTATATACATTGCATATACCACACACACACACACATATGCACGTGCACGTGTGCACACAAACACACACATACACACACAAAGTTTAAAGATTTTTGAAAATGTATCAACTTAAAAATTTTAAATTATATTATTTTAATGCATGTGCTTGCTCATATGTGCTACACTATACCTTCACATGGGAGTCAAGGTACAATTTGTTGACGGTTTTGCCTTCTCCCATGTGAGGCCTGGTGATTGAACTCAGGTCATGAGATTTGGCAGCAAATGCCTTTATCCCCCAAGTTGTCTCAACACCTCAGTTTAAAATTATTTATTAAATATAGTTAGCAAATATGGAAAAATACCAAATTATAGCAGTATCACCGATTTTATGTCTTAGATTTGGTACAAATGAAAATATTATAAACACATAATTGAAAATATTTTAATTAGTGGGGCAGTGGTGGCACATGCCTTTAATCCCAGCACTTGGGAGGCAAAGGCAGGTAGATCTCTGTGAGTTTAAGGCCAGCCTGGTCTACAGAGAATTCCGAACAGCCAGGACTGTTACACTGAGAATCCCTGTCTCAACCCCTCAAGTCTTTAAATTATTGTGTGTATGTGTGTGTGAACTTGTGGAAGCCAGATATATAGGATACCCTGAAGCTGGAGCTACAAGCGGTTGTAAGCTGCACTATGTGGGTGCTGGGAACTGAACTCAGGTTATCTAGAAGAGAATGTGATTTTAAGGCCATTTCACCAGCCTGTAAACCTACCTATTAACGACCACGATGTTTTAACAGCATCATGATAAACAGCATGCTTTTTTACTGTTTGTATATCCAAGGATGCATGTGCAAGAGCTGTGACGAGCTGGCCCTAGGAAGGGGGGCTCTAAGAGGGCGGGCCCTAGGAAGGCGGGCTCTAGGAGGGCGGGCCCTAGGAGGGCGGGCCCTAGGAAGTCGGGCCCTAGGAAGGCGGGGCCTAGAAAGGCGGGCTCTAGGAGGGCGGGCCCTAGGAAGGCGGGCCCTAGGAAGGCGGGCCCTAGGAAGGCGGGGCCTAGAAAGGCGGGCTCTACGAAGGCGGGCTCTAGGAAGGCGGGCCCTAGGAAGGCGGGCTCTAGAAAGGCGGGCCCGCAGCTGAGACAAAGTGCCCAAGCTTTGCTCCACAGGGCTTCACTTAAGGGCCGCCTAAATAGGCCTCAAAGGATAGGGGTTGGGGAGGGGGACGGTAATGGTTTATTAGACAAAAAAAAAGAAATGCAAACAAAAGGGAAGAGGAGAGAAAAGGACAAACTGACTAAAGTGGTAGACCATGAAACTAAAGATCTCCCTGCAGGAAAACAACCAAGAGACCAAAACAAGAGTCCAGACTTTGAAGTAAGAAAGTCCTACGAACCAAGCATGCTTCATGGCTATCTCCCTCATACAATCCAGAATAATTTTTTTTCCCGAGACAGGGTTTCTCTGTGTAACAACCCTGGCTGTCCTAGAACTCACTGTGTAGACCAGGCTGGCCTCGAACTCAAGAGATTTGACTGTCTGTGCCTCCATAGTGCTGGGATTAACAGGTGTGTCCCACCACCACACAGTATGGCTTTCCTGAGGAATATTTTTTATCAACTATTTTGTAAATACAGTTTTTTAGTAGCTCTAGAAACATATAAAAAGGCGGGAATCCCACCTCATCCTATTTTAAGTGTAAATCACTTTTTAATGTGATGAATTTATATTTTTTGTACAAACAGAATAATATATAATAGTCCACGGGGAAGGGGGGTCATGAATGAGACCAACCTGGGCTACATAGGATAACAAACCCTGGACCAATAAACCGTAGCAACAACACCCCAAACAAATAGAAACCCCAATATGGTCAATCAGCTGTTATAATAAATCTTTCCCACTTTTAATAATATACTCATGCTTTTTTATAGTACTTTCAAAGCTTCATCAAAAACAAAAACAAATAAAAAGGGGTCTATGCTATTACTAAATTGGTAAGGGTTCTTGCTGCCACGCCTGATGACCTGAGTTCCATTCCCAGGTCCCATGTGGCAGATTCCTTTAAATTGTCTTCTGATCTTCAAACATATGTCACAGCATGCACATGGCCACACCCACCTCTTTCCTAACCTCATCAAACAAACAGAATATTAAAAAATAAAGATAAATCAATCTACACATGGCGGGTTATGCCTATAATCTCAGCCCTTGGGAAGTTGAGGCAGAACTGCTGTAAGTTACAGGCCAGCAAGGACTACATTGTGAAAATTCATGGCAGCTTGGACTACAAAGCAAGATCTTGTCTAAAAAACAAACAGAACAATCAAAACCAAGGAAATCCCCTCTTTAGTCACACACTAGCATTTTCTCTAAACAAATTAATTCATAATCCTGCCCTGTTGCTAGTAAAAGAAGCAGGCATGGACAAGTGAACAAATGTGGGGTCACATGACAGCACTGGTTTCTCGACTCTATGGGTACTTCCCAATTGTCTTTCAAGCTTGCAGCTGGTACTATTACCCTCTAAATTCTGAATTCGCCAATGATGGCTTGGTGAAAACGGATGTGTGTGAAGCAGACACGTGTCACTCATCTAAACAAACTCTTGGCCGTTAATGCTTTGTTCATTAGTATACTTCCGAAATACTTCTTACCACTTTTGCTTTCTCAAGAGCACAGTTTTTTAATAGTGACACAAAAGATAGTTTGGCTAGATAATTTTTGTCACTGTTCTGTGCACTACCAGATGTTTTGTTAGGATTACTGATTGTTATTGACCTGACACCAGCAACACTTTCCTCTTTCCTTATTTTCTAACGTATTCACACAAGCAAGCTGTTTTTAATGCTCCAAACAGTTACTTTATTTTTGCTTTTTCTATCACACAAAAGTACACACCAAACATGCAATCAATTTGAAGATAAAATATTATGAAATCAAACACTATTAATTGATCAGACAAAGAAATTACACTCAACAACAGCACCTTAGGCAGTATGAAGGGAAGGCATAAAGTGACTAAAAGGAGCTTAAATTGGCTAATATGATTAAATCATCTAATATTCTACACTGTATAATATGGCTAAAGAAATTTACAAAAAATGTCCTGACATCAAGGAATACTGCCAAAATTAAGACAGCAAACAAACCTATGACATTTCTTTAACAGAATAATATGTACAAAACTGCCCATGCTTTAAAGACTATATTTTACAAACATCAACTCCACAGAAAACATATATACATTTACTAAGCATATTCCTAAAAGTAAACATGAGCACTTAGAACACACAATTAAAAAACATTAGTAAGTAAACTTCATATTCATGAGAACGCAAAAGTCCCATGTTTAACACAGTTGTATAAAGAAATGTAATTTGACAGGAATTTCATGAGTGATTCTCCTGCCAAAACCAAACTTCACAAAAGCACGATTGCAAAATAAGACAGGCCATGTATCGATAACATGGGGCTTGTGAATTAGTTGCCTGTTGAAACCAAACTTCACAAAAACACCATTGCAGAACAAAACAGTGCATATTAACATCATTATGTTGTGAGGTTCATGAATTATTATCCTGTCAAAATCAACTTTACAATAACACTGCTGTAGAATAATACAGGACACCTTGGCAATATGAGGATCATGAATTAGTCTACTATTGCAAGCAAGTTTCATAAAAACACCACTACAGAATAAAGCAGTCATGTTAGCATATAAAACCGTCTCTTGTTCAAGCTTTATAAAAACATATCAGAGGAAGATAGGATACCTTAGCAATATGAGGTTTATGATGTAGTGTCCTGTTGAAAACAAACCACAAAAAAAAATCACCTCGCAGAAAACATAGAGCATCTTAGCAACAATGAGATTTGTGATTTATTCTACGTCAAAATCAAGCTTCTCTAAACACTTCAAAGCAAAATAACACAGGCCATCTTTAGAAACAAAGTGGTTCCTGAGTTAGTCTCCTGCTGAAAGCGAATTTCATAAAAACACCACTGCAGACTAAAACCAGTCATTTTAGCATATCTAGTTTGTGAATTAGTATCTTGTTGAAACCAGTTTCATAAAAATACTACTGCAGAAGATATGATATTTTAGCAATATGAAGTTCATGAATTAGTCTCCTGTTGAAACCAAAAACTCTAGCAAAAAAAAAAAAACACAGATCATCTTTAGCAACAATATGAGGTTCGTGAATTAGTCTCTTGTTGAAACCAAGCTTCGAAAAGTATATCAGTACATGACAGATGGCATCAAAGTGAGGCATCAATGTGAGGTTAGTCTATCCTGTTGAAACCAAACTTAATTTCACTGCAGCACAAAATAGGGCATCTAATCAACATAAAACTTTAACTTTTAC